GCCCGCGCCCTTCGCCCCCGCTGGTCGGCCTCTTCCTCGCCCCCGTCCGCCGCCGCCGCCTCGTCTACGTCGGCCTCGGGGGGCTCGCCCTCCCGCGGGGGAAACCTTGCGCAGGCCAAGCCCATCTCCACCATCTGCGGGTCCATCTTGAGGATCTCCGGGAAGGAGACGAACTTGTAGACGAACTTCTGGCCGATCACCTTCTTGATGATGTTCTGTCATGTGGGGGGGGAGGGACAAACAAACAAAAAAGCAAATTAAAATAGCATTGCAGGATGAGACAATCTCCAAAAGCAGTCCTCCGCGTCAAGGGGAAGTCACGTCAAACGTTTCGTATGATGTCGGAGCCCCCGCGACAGCCTCAAGGCGGCATTCTGATGAAAAAATGTCGCCCCTTCGTCCTTTTCGACGCCCCCCCCACCCCCAAAAAAAATGACGTCGCGGTGGCTCAGGGCTCAGCTTCATTCCTATTCCACCAACGCGGCAATAGCCAAGTGGGGGCAGAATCTTTGTCACCATCCGGTCGGGTTGGCGGTGAGCCTTCCACGCCAGAAGGCGCGTTTGCGAAAAGGCGGCGTTTACCTTGTCGTAGTAGTAGCGCAGGGCCCGGCTGAGTTTGTCGTAGTTCATGTTGGTCTTGTTCTTGCGCAGCCCCCACAGCTTGGCCACCTCCTCGGACTTGAGCAGCTTGAACTCGCCGTCGGCGGACGTCCAGCAGATCAGGTGCTTGTGGCTCTGGTCCAGCAGCAGCTGCAGCAGGAACTGCCACAGGGTGATGGCGCTGTCCATCGCTGGGCCGCACGCGCAAAGAGATGACGGCCGGTTAGCCTCGCCGCAAACGCAGACAACCCCCGAGGACAACGCCGCACATTTCTTGCCGGGCTCAGCGACTTTTGCAGACCGCGCCATCTTGACCGGATACAAACCATCGCCCGGATGTTGTGGGGTTTCCCCTCCCCCTGGTGAGGTAGCGAAGGCTAACGAAGGCTAGCGAAGGCGGCGGCCGACATCACAACACGCAGCGGTTCCCAGTTGAAGGCAAACGTCAACAAAGAAAAGCGCGCAACTCCTCGAGCTTTATGCTAACACCCGCACGCACGCCGGCAATCGTCACGGCTAGCGGCCCGGCTCCCAAACTAAAATTTGTCACGGTGGTGACGTCCGGGGCCGAACGCACGGATCATTCCAAAGACGTCGAGTTGGATTTCGGTGCTTCCTTAGGAGGAACATTGCTAAAATGTTCCTCACCGACATGCCCGTCGTTTGGAGACCACCTCCACGAACGGAACGTGTTTGGAAGTGATGGATGCTAGGTTAAAAAAAAAATAATAATATTTTAATCTGTGGGACAACAAATCGGAGAGGAGTCGCTCGACGGTAAAAGCCCAGGAGAAAAACAAACAAAAAAAAACAAACAAAAAAAAATCAGCGCACGAGTGCTCGCCATCAATCAAAATACCGCATTTTTATTTTGCATCCTTCCCCCGGCGAATAGAAAAAAATCCATCCTAAAAAGGATTAGCATGACCGATCCATGCAACAGGATGGTGTCAAAGCACTACCTTTGTTGACACGTCACTTCTCAAGCCACTTCCGAGGCAGCGAGACGCCTTGAGATGGCTGCAAAGCACCGCTTTGCTCTCAACGGAACGCCGCAACTCACTTCAACATTGTGCCTTGAGAGCAACAACATTTATAAATACATGTGGATTTATTTTTTAATGACAAATTTGATTGTAATTGTAAAAATTATGTATTTTATATGACGTATTTATATTTCTTTTGTATTTTCCCCCCACAAATAGTAGAATTGGGGATTTTTGGCGATGATATGATCGGTGAGGGGCAGCTCTCTCGCTGGCCACGCGCGGGCCAAGTTGCTTGAGCGAGGGCCGCCGTTTCCGGGCCGGGCCGCCCCGCGCCGCCGTCCGCGTCCCCGGCGGGCTCACAAAGCCGCCCAGTGTGTCGGCCCAACGGAAACTCTTTAATGAGATTAGTAGACGGCGTGCCGCAGACATTACTCGGTCGTGACCGCATCGCGCCCGCTTCCTGCTCGTTCGTTCGGACGGACGTGGAAAAAGTCCACGTTGCGATTTCGTCACGATTCCTCTCCCCTCTGTGGCTCCTCCTGCTGCCGCCGTTGGTGGGGGTCATTTGTTTGACCCTTCTTCTGCCCCCCTTTTTTTTTTTCTAGCTGTGTTCAAGCAAATGCAATGAAACTTTTCAAGGGTGGCCATTTTTGTCATTCCGTTGGTTCATATCCAATTGTACCTTTTAGACACCTGAAAACTACATTGTATAATGTTACAAATTAGACAATGTGGGTAAAATGGTTTCCTTGTCGACCCCATTTATTATTTTTTTTCTTTTTGAGCGGGAGGGGGCGGGGGTGCTGACATCAACTATCAATTTTTGGGACAAGGGGTTCATTTCCTGTCATACTGCGAGTTTCCAGTGGGTAAAATGGTTTCCTTGTCGACCCCATTTATTTATTTATTCTTTTTGAGCGGGAGAGGGGGGCGGGGGTGCCGACATCAACTATCAATTTTGGGACAAGGGGTTAATTTCCTGTCATACTGCGAGTTTCCGAGAGAAGCGTTTCGCGGTTTGGATTTGGAGGAAGTGGCGATACCCTCCGCTGCCCAAGGCAGACAATTACATTTTTATTTCACAAGTGAGACAAAGACTGAACTGGTAGCGGGACAAAGGGAGCAAGTGTAAGTCATAATCTGTCACATTCGAAGGTGACAACTGGGATAGGAGCCAGCATGCCCGCGACCCTTGTGAGAAAAAGCAGATCAGATCATGGATGGATGGATTTTCCAACCTTCGCATTGGGAAAAGTGATTTGAAAGGTTAAAAATACAAATGTATGCATCTACAGTGTTATACGAATGAGGAAAAACGGGTGTCTTTTTCTAGCCAGCTAAGTTAGTAGTGACAAGTGACTTTGTTTCCATTTTTCTCTCGGACACTGCAAATGAATTAAAAACCTTACGAGCCATCTGAAATGTCTGGACGTGGCAAACGTGAACCACGGAAACGCTTCAAGATTCGTCAAATTGAACAAGGCCTGCCGTTTAAAAAGTCGAAATGAGAGGTTTTGTTGTTTTGTTGCTCGGAAGCACACCGGAAGGAAGAATGAAGACGACGAGCCGCTCTTCAGATCGAAAAAGTGTTGCGTTCACTGGCTTTTAACGGGAAACAACGCCACGACTCGGGTCCAAAAGTGGGAGGAGAAGGAAAGTGGACGAGAAGTGTTTACCTGCGATCACTTCCGTGGCCTTTCTTCCCCGCTGAGGAACTTCAGCGCGACGCCGCCGGTGAGGTGGCTTGTTTTTCCATGCTCGCTCGCTCGCTCGGTCGCTCGCTTCGCGACTTGTGCTCGGCCTGAAATCGGATCCTGCGCTTTTTCTTTCTCCGAGCAGGAAGTCGGAGCAGGCAGACGCAGAGCCGGCGGCGGCTCACTTCCTCTCGCCGACGATTCCCCAGGCGTTCTGCCGTCTGTGTAAACACACTTTTCCTCCCCTCCTCTTCGCCTCTGCTGCCTACCCGCTGACGGACGCCAGTCGGCACACATGGCGAGCAACAAGCCGTTACGTTGCCTTCAAGAAAGCTCTGTCAATATGAACACCTCGCAAAAAAAAAAAAGAGCCCATTTTCACTCTTTTTGTGCTTTATATGTCGCATACGCAGTTCAGCGATCCTTAACGAACGCGTAAACAATGGTATTTAAATTATCGTTCATTTATCTTGCCAAATTTACTTGACTTAAATCCAGTTTCGCTACAACCAATGGCTCTGTCAATATGAACACCTCGCAAAAAAAAATGAGCCCATTTTCACTCTTCTTGTGCTTTATATGTCGCATACGCAGTCCGGCGATCCTTAACGAACGCGTAAACAATGCTATTTAAATTATCGTTTATTTATCTTGCCGAATTTACTTACTGACTTAAATCCAGTTTTGCTACAACCAATAAACAACCCAGTTGGCATCCGGTGCCAACTCAACATCAATATGGCATCAACTACCTTTCTTTTTCATCATGAAATGACCGTAAAGCTTGATTTAATTCCAGTTTTGCTACTGTCAGTAAGCAAAGATTGATAAAGCTGTTGTCATTTAAAAAACGAAGCTAATTTATTTGATGGTCGTCGTGGAGCCTTCAGTTAAATCGACCACCACTTACGCGAGGATCCGTTATTTTATTGTTATTATTATTATTATTAATATTATTATTATTATTATTATTAGTAGTAGTAGTAGTACTAGTATATCTTTAGATAGCCACGGTATAGAATTTTGGTACAACCCACAGACGACAATCATGACTTTGGTGGCGACGTCATTTCCAAAACCACCTTCCAAAGGATTACCTGTTTGTCTGTCTTTCTTGCTGACTTTCTTTTTTGTTTTTTGTTTTTTGTTTTTTTTTGCTTCATCTTTTTTAATTCATTTGAGCGCGTCTCTTCAATTTAAATCCGATTTGACAACCCATAAATTAAGATATTGTTTAACTACCTTCGGGAGAACCTCGTCAATCTGACAAACGCGTTCGACAGAATCGTTTCCCCCGATAGTTTCTCTTTTTCATCACGAAATGACCGTAAAGCTTGATTTAATTACAGTTTTGCTACTGTCAGTAAGCAAAGATTGATAAAGCTGTTGTCATTTAAAAAACGACGCTAATTTATTTGATGGTCGTAGTGGAGCCTTCGGTTAAATCGACCACCACTTACGAGAGGATCCATTATTTTATTGTTATTATTATTATTATTATTAATATTATCATTATTATTATTAGTAGTAGTAGTACTGGTCTATCTTTAGATAGCCACGGTATAGAATTTTAGTACAACCCACAGACGACAATGATGACTTTGGTGGCGACGTCATTTCCAAAACCACCTTCCACAGGATTATCTGTTTGTCTGTCTTTCTTGCTGACTTTCTTTGTTGTTTTTTTTTTTGCTTCATCTTTTTTTTAAATTCATTTGAGCGCGTCTCTTCAATTTAAATCCGATTTGACAACCCATAAATTAAGATATTGTTTTCGGTTTCTCTCACGATGCCTTCAGGAGTACCTCGTTAATCCGAGACTCTTGACAAAACGGTCGTCTCCAAATCCTGTCAATGGTTTGTGAAAAGATGGTCTTTACGCGTCAGAGACGGCCCAAAGGCGCAAGCCAGCCAAGCGCCCGTTTAGGGCCTTTCAACCACTAGGGGACGCTCAAGTGCAATTAACAGTTTCCAGAATCTGGAGTTCTGGAATGTGTTTTAATTTTTGTGTTTTATTTCTTCTTACAATAACACAATTTACATCATGTTTCTTATTTTGATATTTTAAAGCCCAACTTTTGCACGTTTTGACATGGTTTCAAGACGTAACTAGTCACCTTTATATTTGTTTTTAAAAACCATTTATATCACCTTTTCTTTGGTCCCTTGATGCAGTTGTATCATTAGTTACATATTTGCTTGACTTGATAGTTCGCTTTGTGCATTTTACTATTAGGTTTAAGTTATTAGTGTAGTGGTACACTCGCCTGACTTATGTGCGGCCAGCGTGTTATCGGTTCGCCCTCAGTGACGACCTGTATGTGGGTGTGAATGGTTGTTTGTCTCCACGTTTGACTGACTGGCGACCGGTTCAGGGTGTAGTTCGCCTTCCGACAAAAGTCACCTGGGAAAGGCTCCAGTGCCGCGTGACCCTGTTCAAGATAATTGGCCTTCAGGATATGTTATTTCACTTATTTTCCTCCATGTCACCGCTGCCCCCCCCCACCACCTCCCCCCCCCGTTAAATTGTTGTGGTTGTTAGGCAAGCTTTTCATTCCAAAGTTTAGGCTGCCATGATGTTAGTGATTTACAAAAGCTTTCCGTTGCTGCCTTGCGCTTACGTCAGACCCACCAAAGTGGATTTCGCTCACGATGTCCCAACAACACTCATGTGACCGAGCGACCCCTGGCTGGGCCTCACACGGTCTGGGGGTAGGGTGTGTGTGTGTGTTTGTGTTTGTGTGTGTGTGGGGGGGGGGGTGGTGTCCAGTCCACGGTGCTGCTGAGGCGTGGCCCCCGGCGGCCGTTGTCTGATTGGTCCCCATCCACTGCGCCGCCGTTGCCTTGCGGAGGTCCGCGACCTCCCCCAGCGCTCAGTGGCGCCATGCCTCGCTTCACCGTGCACGTCCGAGATGAGTGGCTGACGGTGCCGTGCCGGGACAGCTCGTCCACCATCCGCTGGCTGGGCCAGGAAGCCCTCAAGCGCTACATGAAGAACAAGCCCGACGACGGCGGCATCGCGGCGCTCAAGGACGCCCGCTTCGTGGCGCGCAGGTGCCAAGGGCTCGGCCTGCTGGACGCCGACGACACCATCGACGACGTCCTGGAGGATAATGACTTCGTCGAACTGGGTTAGAAACAAACTCGCCGAAATCGGCCCTTTGCATAGGGCACGGGTGTCAAAGTCAAGGCCCGGGGACCAGATCCGGCCCGCCGCGTCATTATATGTGGCCCGCGACTCATTCATATGTGTCAACTTCTGTGATCCTTGCTGAAATCTGTCCCGAAATCATTTTGCGACCCGGTTTACACTCACTTCAACAATAATTGAAGAAACAGCAAACAAAGAGTTGACTGATTTCGAAATTAATAATCCGCCAATTTGTTTGTGTACAAGTAATCATACGATGCGATGATTAAACATTTCTTCGCTTTCACTGTCATAACGGCCCCCCGAGGGAAGACATATTATCATATTGGCCCGCGACACCCCTGGCATAGGGCGTCTTCGCTTTACGACGGATTTCCGTTCCGAGGGCGTCGAGTTGCGCCTCCACCGTAACAGCGATAAAAAGAATAGAAACCACACGATTTTCGACGACCTTCCCGGGGGCCGCTGCGGAAACAAGGTCACTGAGCAATGTTTGGAACTCGGAAGCGTCGCATGTTGGAACTCATTGACAGAATTGAGCATTTTGACATGACTTTATTTTGTTGTTGTTTTCACCAGAGAGTATCGTTGTGAATTTTGCCTCTGAGCTCTTTGGATCTAAAAATCATCAGCGTAGGTATAAAAAGTCGACACGCCCCCTGTTTCAATGTGACCTATGACCTGTAGAAGTCAATTAGGAGAAAAAAAAAAAAGAAGATATTTTCCTTTCGAGAGGGGGGAGTAAAATTATACAACCGAGTTCAACCTTGGTTACCACACGCGTCCAGACTGAGATGTTTTTTTGGTTTTTCTTTTGAGGGGGGGGGGGGGTTCCGTCTTGCAACCCATCCACCAGACGTAGGAAGGAGAAGGGAGATTGTTGTCCCATGCGCAGCCTCGCCGCTCCTCGAATGTCGCCGTCAGCCTCTCGGGAGCCTCCTTGACCGAACTTCATCCCGTCTTTTCGTCCCAGTTGGCGCTCTTGCATCTGCTGTGTCATATTTGACGACGGACGATCCTGGCATATGTGCTGCGCATGTGACGGCAAACGTGCCAGGAAAAGCCAACCGGCACATCCGCGCTCCGTTTTGGGCTGCGGCGGAACCACTTGAAAGGGTGGCGGGCGTGTGCTGAGCCCCGTTCCAGACGAGTCGGGTGAATGCGCGCGGTTGCGCAAGCGCCTTATCTCAGCTGTTTATTCATCCCCGTCCATTGTCGTCCAGGTTCGAGGTCACATGAATGCTGGAGAAAGTTTGGAAATGATTTACCTCGGTCAAAAAGCCGCCATTTGAGCGGGGGCGTGCGGACTTTTTCAACACCTTTTGACTCCGCTGTTTCTTTCATGATGATTTCCTTCGTTCTGGCGATTGTCTAAGCGAGCATAAACAAACCCTGCCTGCCCGCCCGCCCTTGTGTGTTTGCAGCCATCGAAGGCGACACCATGTGTCCCGACTTCATCCCGTGTACGCCGGGAGTTTCCCACCTGTATCCATTTCCGCAAGATGACATTTGCATTTGAGCACTCTGGTTTCGTCTTGTCGTCCTTACATGAATCACACCAAACAAAATAGCACGGCGGCGTACAGAGAACCGGAAGACGTAAGTGTCCTCTCCGGCCCGCACGCATTGATCTTATTTGTATTTGTCTTTTTTTTTTTTTTTTTGCGTCCCCAAGACATGTTTTGCTTGGCTCTGCAGAGTATTTGCTTGGATGGCAACAGCCTGACGTCGACGGACCTGGTCAACTTGGGCCGAGGCCTCTACAAGATAACGGTCAGTCACCATCCAAACACTCTCGACGGACGCTGACGATCTTTCACTCACTTTTTTTTTGTTTTGGTGGGGTTTTTCTGTTGTTGTTTTTTTGGGGGGTGGGGGGTGGTTGTCAGCTGGCTGCGGAGGCCGAGAGGAACGTTGTCAAATCCAGAGAGCTTTTGGACACCATCGTCAAGGAAAACAAAGGTCGGGGCGCAAAATGGTCGTTGAACGCCGCGCCGTTACGACTCAATGTGGTTGCTGTCCGTTTCCGCTTGCAGTTGTTTACGGGATCACCACCGGTTTCGGCAAATTTGCTCGAACCGTCATTCCTGTCAGCAAACTCAAGTAAAAAAACACACACACACACACACACACAAAAGAAATGAAATGCAAATGTTTGGAGCGAAAAGCTACGCGCGAGTGATTTTGTTTGTTTGCGTTGCCTAGGGAGCTGCAGGAGAACCTGGTGCGCTCGCACTCGGCAGGTAAATGGCAGTTGCAAACACCAGCGCGTTTCGTTCACGATGACCGCAGTTTGAACCGACGACAAAATAGCTGAGCTCAAGTCGTCAGCAGAACGCGATTGTTCGCTTGAACCGCTTTCACGCGCCACGGCACATTTTTCCTTCATGTCAGCCGTTCACTTGGAAGCGTTTCGACTTCTCCTCAACGCTTTGCATGACGTGAATGGTGTGCCGATGACATTTCTTGCCACTTTCTTCTATCGTCTGTTGCATGTCAATCAGTCGATCGATATCGACGCGCTGGCAACGGGGCCATCCCCGACCTCATTTCCAGATGAAATCATCCTTCGGATTGGGATCGGGTCCAGCTATTATTGACGAGTCTCAGACTGTAAAGCGGGGGTGCCCGACCTTTTTGGACCAAAGATCTGCTTTTCAAGCGGCCACGCTCCCGCCATCCGCCATCTTACCGCGCGTGCGCACACGCACGCAAAAATCAAGTCCACACAGGAGGTTGTGAGTTTGTGAAAAAGAAATCGAGTCCTGACGCGAAGGCGCGGAGGCGCACCGTCGCAGCATCTGAAGTGCAGAAAGTGTCGTACGGTTGCGTCGCGTTTGAAAACGTTTCTCCTGGCGCTGCGGATGGCCATTCTTTGCCGGCGGTGAATTGTACAAGAAACCAACTTTGAAATGACAATCATCATGACAAAAGATATCTGGCAAAAATTGCAGAACCGCGGACCGTAAAAAAACCTCCGGTGATGCGGATCGCGCGCCATCGTAGGTTCGAGGGTGAGCCGCTTTGATTTTTTTCAATCCTTTCTTGCGGACTTGGTATCGCTCGCGGCCGATCGCGGTCAACCGGTCGGGCACCCCCGCCGTCAAGAAAACACGCGCGATGGAGAACGCAGGCGTGAAAACATTCGTCCGTGGGCGTGTCGCGCAGGTGTGGGAAACCCGCTGAGCCCGGAGAGGACCCGCATGCTGCTGGCTCTGAGGATCAACGTTCTGGCCAAAGGGCACAGCGGCATCTCTCTGGAGACCCTCCGCGCCATGATCCAGGCCTTCAATGGTGAGCGCTGCCGCCTTCTCGATCCCAGAGGCGGATCTTTTTCGTACGGCGGTAGCTTGGCCAACGCCGGTTGTTTCTTGATCAATTTTTCCACTTTGGTTCGAGGTACGACCGTGATTCGGTTGGTTTGAGCAAAGTGAAAGAAATGGAGCGACAAAGGTATCGGGAGGGAGCGCCCCAGTTGCCGTTGCTCTTTCAGCCACCCGTTGACCGGGACAACCGGGCAAACATACAAAAATGTGGGCGGCATGTGTGTGTCGCGTGGCCCGGCGAGTGACGTCAGGAGTTGCCTCGTTGGTTCGGCGGGAGGGTTCGGTTCATTGCGAGCGTTCTCACTTTGTATTTGTGCGTTGGATCGGTTCAGCATCAGCGACCGTGGCTCTCCTTGCCCGCATGCCGGGGCATCGCTCGCATCCGCCAGCAAAACGTCCACCCGGCGCCGGCTCGTCACATGAAAAAAACCAGTCGGACTCGCGAGTCGAGGCGGCGCCGCGCCGTCTTGTTGTCGCTGGCTGACCCCGGACGTGACGTTGCAGCTTCCTGCCTCTCGTTCGTCCCCGAGAAGGGCACGGTGGGTGCCAGCGGAGACCTGGCGCCCCTGGCCCACTTGGCCCTGGGGCTGATGGGCGAGGGGAAAATGTGGTCGCCGAAGAGCGGATGGGCCGACGCCAAATACGTAAGACGCCGTCTCAGGCGGCCTGCCCGCTCGCGGAAGGATGCGAGGCATTTGACGTGCTTTTTTTCCTCCTTTTATCTGCGAACAGGTCCTGGAGGCCCACGGGCTCAAGCCAATATCGCTGAAGCCCAAAGAGGTAAGATTGAAAAACAACAGCTCACGTTCATTCCCCCGCCGCTTTGCACAAACGAGAAGGACCAAGTGTCCGCCGGGACCGCATTGCATCGTCTTGAAGGGCCGGTCGAAATGCTCCAAAGCGGCTTTGCAAACGGGGGAACTGAAGGGGTTGCCCATGTCGTGACCGCGCCCCCTTCCCCGTTCGCCCCCCCCCGACAGGGCCTGGCTCTGATCAACGGCACCCAGATGATCACCTCGCTGGGGGCGGAGGCGGTGGAGCGAGCCCAGGCCATCGCCCGCCAGGCCGACATCATCGCCGCGCTCACCCTGGAGGTGCTGAAGGGAACCACCAAGGCCTTCGACAGCGGTGAGCGGCGCCGCGGGACCGTAGCGCATCATTCCCGAACCCCCAGGCGCAGCGCAGCGCAGCGTACACGCTTGACGTTTCCGATCCTTCTCGGCGGCGTCCCCCCGCCGCGCAGACATCCATTCGCTGAGGCCCCACCCGGGACAAGTGGAGGTGGCCCTGCGCTTCCGCTCGCTGCTGGACTCGGATCACCATCCTTCCGAGATCGCAGGTGGCCGCATTTTCGCAAACCGAAGGAGGACGGCGGCCGGCGCTGGACGAGATGACTAAGGAAGTTGTGTGCGCTTGTGTGTCCAGAGAGCCACCGCTTCTGCGACAGGGTCCAGGACGCTTACACCATGCGTTGCTGTCCTCAGGTAACACGTCCCGTCCGTCAACGTGACTCGGAAAATGATTCCGACGCGTCGGCGTCTGCTCATCGAGCCGCTTCTTGCTCCCGCTCTGCTCAAAGGTCCACGGCATTTCCAACGACACCATCCAGTTTGTCCTCAACATCATCAACACGGAAATCAACAGTGCCACGGACAACCCGGTATCCGTCCCGTCTCGAATGGCTCTGGTGGGCGGCGGAAGGGATGAACCGCCCTGGTTTGGGGGTCTCGCCTCGGTCAAAGGTGGCACGGGTCAAACGGCGGCGTTCTCCCTCGTTGTTCTCGGGTCGATGACCGAGTCCCGTTCCCGGGGGCCGCCGCCTTTTCTGGACCAGCTTACGCTAATACGCCTTGTCTGTCACTCGGGTTATCCGTCCATCCGCGGTGGCTGTTTTTCTTTGTTTGGGTTTTTTTTCCTATTGGCCGCGCCAGATGGTGTTCGCCGAAAGAGGGGAGACCATCTCGGGCGGAAATTTTCACGGGGAGTACCCGGCGAAGGTAGACGCGAGACGACCAACCGGCGGCTTCAAAGCGACGGCTTTCGTGGCGCTCTCAACCTTTCCGCCTTCCTGCCAGGCTCTGGACTTTCTCGCCATCGCAGTGCACGAACTGGCTTCCATCAGCGAGAGGCGGATCGAGAGACTGTGCAACCCGTCGCTGAGTGAGCTGCCGGCCTTCCTGGTCAATGAGGGGGGCCTCAATTCGGGCTTCATGATTGCGCACTGCACCGCCGCCGCTTTGGGTGGGACCCCCACGTTCTTTTTCCCCCGTTGCCCCCACCTTGACTTCAACCTCCCTCAATCGTTTCCCGCCCGTGTCCAGTTTCAGAGAACAAAGTTTTGTGCCATCCTTCCTCTGTGGACTCCTTGTCCACCAGCGCCGCCACGGAGGACCACGTGTCCATGGGGGGCTGGGCTGCCAGGAAGGCCCTGAGAGTGGTGGAGCACGTGGAGCAAGGTAAGGAACGCTCCGCCTCTTTTCCGTTGCGCTGCAGGCCCACCTACGGGGCTGTCGGAAACTCCAGTTCGACCTTAACTTCCAAGCTTCTCAAGTGATGAGCTCCTGCTATCGGTCCGCTTTTTTTTTTTTTTTTTTTTTTGCTGCGAGCCTCCGCTGGGTCTCCAGATGATGGCCTCTTGCTAGTCCACGTCGTCGGAACTCAGATTCCCCAGAGCAGCCGGCGCAGAAGAGCCGTCCGCTCCCTCCACATTAGCCCGGCTGGACGGGACATGCAGAGTTTTAACGGTCTCCATCTTATATGGAAGTTGTCAGCAGATCGCAGAGAGGAACGGAATGCTCGCGAGCAGCTGAAGGTTGGACGGAAACGGCCGAGAGTTCACTCCTTGCCGAGTTGCCTCACATTCACTCACGCGATCGGTGGAACGAAACGGCCGTCATCTCCCGTGGCCGTTCAGTCCACCTTCTCATCTTGAGCGATGACACGACTTGGCTGAAGGGATTCCAGTCTCCTCGATGCTGAGAAAAAAAGACGCAAAAGCTCCTCTTGGTTGTGGGTGGTTTTCCGATCCAGGGCGTGGGGGTCGGGGGTGGGGGGGTAGCATCCATATTCTTCGACAAGGACTCTCGGGCTGAGGAAATGCGCCTTGGCGTAAAAATCCAATCAAGGAGGAGGAAACAAAGACATGAAAGATAAAATGAGTCCGACCTGTTTGCGCCACCTGAAAATGTTGTTTGTTTGCATCCGGGCTCAGTCCTGGCCATCGAGCTGTTGGCGGCCTGCCAGGGCATCGAGTTCCTCCGCCCGCTCCGTACCACCACGCCGCTGGAAAAGGTCTACGACCTGGTGCGCAGTGTGGTCAAGTAAGTCAAACACAGCAGGGCCAAGGTACAACAACGGTCCCGCTCCGGTGGAAGAGAGGCTCGGGATGGTTAATATTTAATATTTTCCGCAGGCCGTGGATTAAAGACCGATTCATGTCCCCGGACATCGAGGCGGTGCATCGCCTCCTGCTCGACCAAAAGGCAAGTAGTTGACCGGCCCAAATCTACATGCGCCTGCATCCCGTATTTGCCCTTTATTTCGTGACCGACTTATTTCTTGACTCGACGCAGGTGTGGACCGTGGCCAAGCCTTACATTGACAAATATCAGACGGAGTACATTCCCGAATCCCGTCCCGTCTCTCCGACCGCCTTCTCACTGGAGTCGCCTCCTTCGCCCAGGAAGCGCTGTCGCCATGACTGAAGCCGCGCAGTCCCCAAATGTGACCGATATCGACGCACTAACACACGTCAGCGTACCGCATGACTTCAGAATTGATCACGAATGACTTTTGAACTGGTGTCTATCCTATTCTGATTTCGTTACCTCAGCCATTCTCCCTAACTGTCTTCCAGTCTCATTATTTTGAATGAAAATTACATATCTGAGGTAATTGTGTTAAATTACATGACAGACTAAATACTGTATAATAAAGTCTTACTCCTATACTTAGTCCGCCAATTTGTATTCATTATTTTTTTTAAACTTATCTAAAGGAGTTGAATCCGTGCTTCTACTTTTAAGAGTATTTTAAAGTGTCTCACTACTTTTGCCAACTCAGATCTGCTGTAAACTCAACATGGAGTTGCCGGATTCACTGCGATAGTTGACGCAATGTCGCCGAAAATAATTCTCGGAGGGTCTACAAAAAACAAACAAAAAAAAAACTCCTTCGAGCCGGATTTGAACCAGCGACCTAAGGATTTCAGCAGTTAGCCTCTACAGTCCTCCGCTCTACCAACTGAGCTATCGAAGGGTCGAACGAACGTGCCGGCTTTGGCTTTATGTTTCTTCATCTTTCGAATACGAGATTACAAATGACGCGAGTACGCTCCAAATGACTCAGGTACGGTCATTTCTCAAGATCCAGTTGACGCTTTGCGCTCAACAAACCGTGAAACGTTGTCTCTTCGCGCCCCCTGTAGACGTGCAGTGGCACTGCTTGGGGGATACAGGTGAGGACGTCTCCATCTTGTCCAAATTTGAGACCCGCCCGGCCAAGCAAGCAGCACACCTCGAAGCTTCCTGAGCAGCATCGGACGCCGCGAACGCCTACCGCGTTCCATTTGTGGTCGCGGGTTGCATCCGAGTCGCTCCGGGTGACTTCGGGCGGACGTCGGAAGTGAAAAGGTGTTCTGACGATTGTCCGCTTTGTGTCGCTTGGTGACGCCGCCCGACGTGGCTCGGCTCCACTCGAGAGAGAAGGCGCCCGAAAGGGTCAAGGGCTCCCCTCACTTCTCGCCTCCTCCACATGACTTCGTTGACGCTCCTGTCCCCTTACCCCATTTATTTCTTCGACCAGGTGGGCTACCGCGCTCTCTCTTCTCGGTCTCTCTCGCTCTCGCTGCCAGCAGCCAACGACGAGTTGACTTGTCCGAATGAAAGTGCCCTCTCGTTGCAGCCTGCACCACCGCGAAGTAAGAAGGGCAAAGTTGCGAATGTGGGAAAACCTAAAGACGAAAAGAAGGAAAAAAGGTAGGTTTGCTTTGGCGCGAGTGCAAACTAGCTTTGCGGCTCGCCGCAACATTCATCTCACCTCCATACACGACGAGGACGATTCCAAGTAGCTTTCGCCTTCGTTCTGTTCCAGAGAGACGCGAGCCCGGCTTGCTGTGTAAATGCTTGATCGAGAGTCATTAACTTTGTGTCCCTTTGGTGAGGGGAGGTTGTGTGTTTTTTTTTTTGGGGGGGGGGGGGGGCGCCGCCATCATCAAATATGGCGGACCCGCTCACGTACCACAGCCCTCCTCAAAGTGGAGTCTATCGTCGTCTGTGCTTCAACAACAATCACTTTTTTAAGGGCATAATGGGAACGCTCGCCAGGGTGTCCCAGTGCATCGCTTTATTGGCTTCTCAAGTCAATGCAGAACCGGCATGTGCATATTCGACCAGTTAACGATGAACTAAACTTTCGAGCAAACTCAGCTTCAGAGTTGACACGGCTATCTTACCTGCAGCCGTCCCCCTGAAGTCAACATGGTAGATGTTGTGTGTCTCGTAGCTTCAGGTTTCAAACTTTGCGCGTTGCCGTCTTTCATCAAAACACAAATCCTTGAATCCCGATTTTTTTTTTTCTCTTCATCTTCGGTGACACTCGCTCAACGGGTCAGGCTCTGCCTCCGTCCGTCTGTGGCCGGAGCGTAGTGGCGGTGGCCGTCATCGCCGAAGTGACCGGATTGGTGGCACGGGCCACGCAAAAAACAAAAGGCACACAGCGTGGGGAAAAAAAGAAAGAAAAAGATTTTCAAACGGAAAGAGAATGACTCGTCAAGTCACAGTGAAAGATTCCGGCAGCCACAGCCGCTGTCAAGTCAAAGGCCTGATGTGTCTGCGCTTTGGATGTTGTGAGGTCGTGTACCGAAGAATCTGCCCAGTGAGCGATGTGGGTGTCGTTTGCTCCGACAGGTCTGAAAATGGCAAACTATTGAAGCTTCTGAAAAAAGCAAAAAGCGACGATCTTCCGGAGACCTCGGCAAGGGAGGACACATGCGAAGATGACTCAGCGGAAGACGAGAACGAGGACCCGCTGGCCAGCCAGAAGCGGGCCGCCCCTCGCTTGCTGAACGAATTGGGTCGCCTGCTGTACCGCAACCGCGGCGCCTCCCTGCAGTTGGGCGACATCCTCAACTACTCGGCCGACGCCGCGCTCAAGCAGCCCAAGGAGGCCGAAGATGCGGCCCGACGCAAGGCGGCCAGGAGGAAAAAGTCTCAGAAGAAACCCTCAAAAACAAACCAAGACGCAACAGGTCAGTCCGGCTTTCTTTCAAGACCGCGCGTGCCATTCTTTTGGCACGTCGGACTGCGGGAAACTCCATTTTGGGCTTTTGCTGGGGAGAGATTGCAAGTTTTAGCAATTTAAAAAAAAGTCCAGTCTGGGGCATTTGTAGCTTGTCGACGAGCGTCAGTCGTCGGCGACTTTCCCACAATGTGGATTGGAATTGTCGGAAAAACTGGGGCTCTCAAGTCTTATTTTGCCGAGTCCATCAATGTCGTCACTGATCGAAGTGACGGATTTTGACATGACCGCCAATCACAAAATTAACCAAGTGTGCAAAATATCATCCTGTCTTTTATAGTCGAAATGGAAAGGAAAAACTGGTTGACATTCCACGCCCAGCCTCAAAGATGTTTTCTTTTTCCTTCTCAGATGTTGCAGCGGTACCTGGCGAAGTGTCCGGTAAGTTCATTCCGTCAACGAACGTGCTGCTGCAGCAGCGGCGGCCGCGTTCTACGTGGCGGCCGCCGGCAAAAACTGCACTTTAGTGTCGTCTGTCTGAATTTCCCGCCGCTCAGCTGTCAGTCCCACGGCCACGGAAGACATGATCTCCGGCAGCAGTCAAGATCCAGGTGGGTGCCGCCGCCGCCGCAGCGCTCGTCTTTGGTGTGCATGTTGTCACTCGGGTCTTCTTGCAGATTGGTTGGCTTTGCCGCTCCAGGCCTTGGGCGAAGCGACGCCTCCTGCCAGGGGCTTGTGCCAGTGGGTGGTGGAGAGACTCAAGGCCAGCGCAAGTCCACAGTCAGTTCCTCCTTGACTCCGCTCCATGCGTTCGCAAGATGTCGTATGAAAAACACACAGGAATGACATTTGGAAGGAATGAAACCGGTAGACCGAGACCTCTTCATTCAGACGTCTCATTGCCTTTCTGTGTGCGCTGCTGCATGGTTCGAGCACCGCGACATCGATACTCCTTCGTGTTAGCGCGGAAGCGGAAGAGCGCGAGGCCAAGCTGCTCTCTGCGTTTGAATTCACCTCATTGCCACCCTGCAGTCGTCAGACAGCAAATCAAAGCCCCCCCCCCCCAAAACCCCCAACAACCCGTCTCTCCAAAGACTCAACGTACGTACATTGTGAATTCATTTGAAAAGAAATTGCGAGTGGCGGCTCATAATACGGTGCATGTAAACCGTCCCGAGTCTGAGAAACCGACGGCCAAAAGGTTTCGGAGCTCTTTGCCCATTCTTTCGTGATCGGCAGGAAAACATGGGTTGCGTTCAGCAAAAACACCCGCGTCTGACCAAAAAGTGGAGAAAGAGACCTACTTGTGTCAAGCACAACAGTGGCTGAGCCAAATCCTCGATTTTGGTACTTTTCTGACACCTCAACCTGTAAAACAACAAAAACGAGACCGCGAAAGGCCTTTTGATGTTCAAACTGATTGTGTGCAGATCGACGAACAAGAAACGGACTCGCCGCGTGGCTGAACTTTCACACCAGCTACTGTCTTTTTTCTTTTTTTTTTTTTTTACATGCCGTTCACCATTCACTCCAGGACCCGCGTCACGTTTTCTCGGATCTCGATCCCAACCCTAAATTCAAACGAATGTGACGAGTGTTGAGCATCGACGTTTGTCCGTCCCGCAGCGTCAAACCGCGAGTGATGGATCAGGTGCCGAGTTCTCCCATCCTCCGTCACTACGTCGACGCAAAGGCGGGAATCAAGACTCACAGTCTACTAAGCGTGCCGAGCGAAGCCGACACCCCCGCCGAGGAAGTGACCCCGTGGCGGCCGCCGCCGCTGAAGAAACTGCATTGCAGGGTCGCCAACGAGAGCTCCTTCATCTAGTATCCTTTGCGCCGCATTGTATTGATCGGTTTTGGCAAACGTGTCCCGGCAGCAGAAAGGCCGGCCGGCCCCTTAACGCCGTCCCCTCAGCTACCCGTCGGGCAACATGGCCGTGTGCCACAGCCACTCGGGTCTTCCGTCGGGAGGCTTCTGCACCAACGTGTTCACCGACAGCCACGCTCCCGTCATCCTGGCCACCGTCACCGCGTGCGGCCGCGGTTCCGCCTCTCACCCCGTCAGGTGGCCTCATCGCTCGCGCTCGCGCCGCCTTTCTGGACGGCGCTCGGTTCAAACCATGCCCTTCCAGCTCCGCGGTGACGGCCTTGTGGGACCAGCACGGCGGATTCCTGTGCGACCGGGAGGGCAACCTCAAGAAGGAGTGGTGCTGGAAGACCGACCGAGAACAGGAGAAGATCGTCGTCAAGGTGAACCGCGCCGTCGCGTCCCTTCCTCGCCGCGCGGCCGACTCAAAGAACGGCGACGGCGGATGGCGGAGCCACGAAAACGTCCGCTTCTGTGCCTTTCTGTGACTCTGCCGGTCGCTGTTTTTGCAGCGGTGACCGCAGACGCTTCACGCCGTAGCTTCGCCTTTTAGCGTTTTTGTTTCGCCTCGGATACACGCGCCAAAGACCATTGTTGCGCGTTGGAATTCCTCCAGCCCGCAAGGCGCGTCAATCGTGTAACCTGTTTGTGGTGTGTCGCGCAGCTGGCAAAGGGCATCTCGCTGCGGCTGCTGAGCGGCACGACGGCGCTGCTGTGCTTCAAGTGTGAGGACAACAAAGTTCAGCTCCCGCTCTCGGTTGCCCCGTGCTCCGCAAAGGAAGCGGTGAGAGTGACAAACGTTTTTTTTTTTCTCATGTGTTCTGAAGCAAGTACAGCAACTCCTCATTGTCATTTCTCAAGAGTCACGCACACAGCAAAACGATCAACATTGACGTTGATGCTTACAGTACCGCCGGCTTGTGAAAATGGCGCCATTTCATTCCAATAGGCCGTGTGATGTCCCAATACATGATAGAAATATATTTGAGAGAGAGAGAACAAAGCCACATCATTTTAGCCGCTCACCAACAATCATGACGGGCCGCGAGCCGATTTCTCCCGAAGCAGGTCGGGGCGAGGAGCAAGAAAGCGTCCGTAAATCAAGCTCACGTCTTGGCAGACGTGGTCTTTTGCCCGCACGGCAAGAATTAAGTTTCCCAAGCGAGCCTTTGACGATGACCTGGCCATCAGACACGTTCTGCAATCCCCGCCCTTCCCAGGAGGCCGACCAGACGTTCCCGGAGGCGTCGGCGGGGACCTTGTCGGCGCGTTGGAAGAAAGGATGTCACGCGATGGGCGAGCTGAGCAAACTTCGCAAGAAAGTCCGAGACATCCTGACCGCCTGGCTGGACTATTATCGCACCGCCACCGGTACCCGTCGCTTCGCACGCCGGTGAAAATGGACCAACAGTGAACGGGAACCGAGTCGCCCTTCAAAGCGAGCGCTCAGGCCGCAGCGCGGGCCACGCGGCTCTCGCAACGCCTCCGGGTAATTACGGTCCCTCCCGTGTTGCGCGTTTGCTCGTGTGCAGGTCTCAAGCGCGGTGAGAAAAAGCCGAAGGTCGCCAAGGGCAAGCACAAGAAGCGGGCGCTGTCGGCCAAGAAGGCACTCGAGCGGGCCCACGGCAAGCTGGCCAAGGCCAAAGAAAAAGTGCCGGAGAAACTCGAGCAGCCCGCCAAGAAAACGCCGCGCGAAGCTCCGACCAAGACAAGGTCTGGCTCACGTTCACGGGAAGGCGACGCTATACGCCAGCGGTCTCCGACCTTTTTTGCCCCGCAAATGTATAATAATGTCAGACACTTATTTTCTGTGACAGAAAAATACCACAAAATAATATCATTTGACCTGCACCAAAACTGCACTATTTTCGAAACCTAATCCTAAACACGAATCATGACACGAGGAAGGTCCTATCTGGTCGCAACGGTCTCTGGTCACGATGGTTTAAACGTGCCTTCAAAATAAGATGCGCCGCAAATACAAAATGCATGAAAAATGCGACTCGCCATCGCCGCGCGTTACGCAGAGCGGGCTCGGTGGGTGGGAATCTACCGTTGCGATAAATCCGGATTTGAAGTAGGATGAAATGTAGCCCTCTTTTTCTTGAAAGTCGTAGGCTCCTCTTCTGTCCCCTTCCCGAAGACGTTTGTTTTTGACTCGTTTTGTGAGCTCCTGGGTTTCATTTTAGTGGTAACCTATCACGTGACGAGAAGCGCGCCTTGACCTGCGTCAAGAGTGACACGTTGTAGACAGATATAACTATTATTTTTGTACTTTTCCTCCGAAGGTATTAGAATCCGGTCATTTTTCAAAATAAAATACATTTCAGATTCCAAAATAAATAAAACGGAAGTAAATTATTTCTGCGCAGCCCAGAACCAAATGACCCGCGGACCGTGACGTGGGGGACCGCTGCTATACGCTACTCGCGTGGACTCGCTTCATGTTTGAATGACATTTGGGCGCTAATGCAACGCGTCGTGAATGTTTCGCAGGGTCCCCGCAAAGAACACCAAGGAGCACAGCATGTTACAGATCGGACCCCTGCGGATCCTCGGCAACATCAAACAGGAGTAAGACCGCCGCGGCCGCGTTAGCTGTCGCTCGCTGGAGTTGGCCCTTTTCTTGTGCGACGTTACAACCGGTGAACGATTGCCAACGCGGCCCACGTCGCTCGCGTTGAAACGGTAGAGCGTCTGTTTGACGGCCACGTTGTAAGCCTAACCCCGACTCGCTGGCCCCCGGCAGGTTAGTGGTCCTTCCAGACTATTCCGCCTCGCGCCTGTCCAGCCTGCCTCGCTTCCCCGTGCGGTCCGGCCTGCCGCCCTCGGTGCCGCTCACCGTGTGCCCGCTGCTGCTGCGGGCGGCCCTGCTCCGGCAGCTCAAAGGCCAGGCGCCCAAGAGGTGCTGCTGCAGCACGGCGCTGATGCCCGTGCTGCTGGACGTGGAGTACGACGCCTTCATCACGGGCCAGCCGCAGCACAGCCAGCAGATCCTGGTGGTGGTGGTCACGCTGCCCGTCAAGCCCGGGGCCACGCCCGAGCAGGACGCCATCCAGCAGCTCTACCGCAGGAGCAACAGGAAGAGGACCATGCCCTGCGCCCAGGTGAGCCCGGCCGCTTTCGACCGCTCTGGGCCCAAACCCGCTCGGGATCGCCTCGGCTCCCTTTCCCGAGTCCGACTTCAAAGCTGGCGCCTCTCGAATCTGCTCAAGTGGAAAAGTCCAAAATGCCTTTTTTGTTTTCCTGCCTCTTACGTACGTACGTACGCGCACGACAACAGCAAAGATGACCTCCTTGGGTCCATTTTTGACATTGACATTGAAAATGTCTCCGCTTTTTTCCCCGCAGCACGGCAGGTTGTTGAGATATTTCTTTGACTTTGACCCATAAAAGCTTGCGCAATCTTGCTTCCTAGCGCTGACGTTCCAGAAAGAAATGTCACCTGTCGCTGTACCTCAACCTTAATTCATGAATATTTCCAAGTAGATTACACCTGATATTCTTGTGATTGTAACCTTCTATTAGTATGATGAAAAGACTGACGAGGGCAGATTCGGAATCAGGGCAAAAAATAAAATTTTTAAAATCCATTTGTGCTTGCGCCTGCTCCTGACCAAATGACGAAGGCGCTCTTTTGCCACTCAGTGCCAGATGGACTCGTTTCGTCTGGTGAGGTACGAAGTGTCCACGGGGGCCTTGGGCTGCCCGGTGGACAACATCCTCTTGCAGCATCGCCACAACGTCGCCGCCGGCATGATCCTGGTCAGTATGGGCCACACTCGCACGTCAACACGCACAAATAATGCTCTCGTATACGATGCTTGAGTACATGCATCCGAACGCAAAATACACGAGATGGAGGTTAAACTCACCTCGTCGCCGTATTTGCTGTACTTTCGGATCAGAAGTCATTTTCTGCTATTCAGTGTGCTCAAGTGTTGCAAGTATTGTTCTGAAACAAACACAAACAAACAAAACACTGAAAATTTTTATTTTTTTATTTAATACAAAACTTAAAAAAAAAACATCCAATCAATTCAAATGTAATGTCAATGTGTTAGATGTACATCCGAGGGCGACTGATGTTTTTGGGCTACGTCTCCAGTGGTCGCACCTGCTCCGCCTCGGACCTTCAGAAGCAAATTTTGAGAACCAGGGAGGACTACAGGTTGGGTGTCAGCCTCCCTCCCGATTACAAATTCAGGTAGGAGGAGCACCGACTCGGCGCAGTCAATCGTCCGAGATCAACGTCACCCTCGTCCTTCCTTGATGCTTGCAGCGAGAGCGCAAAGGTCAGCGTGGGCTGCTCGGAGGCCTCGAACGCAAATAAAGTGGAAGAATCGGCGCCGACGCTAACCAATGACCTCACGTCGAATCACTCGCCGGAAAAAGAATACGTCGCCGAAACGACGTGAGTCAACCGGAAGAGGTGACGTCCTGGCAAAGGACTTTTTCATCGGCTTGGCTTATATCGTACGCTCGTTGTTCCGGCTTGCCATTTACTTCACGAGAAAAAAAAATAAAGAAAGGA